CGACCGATGGCCTGTTGTGAGGCCAACTGTCTCGGTTAATCTGATTCAGTTACATAAAGCGTTGGAAGGAAATAGACTTCGCGGGCTTGAGCGTGGAGAAGAATCATGAACAAATTGACAGTTACGCTTTAGTTCAAATGTATGTATGTACGTATGCGTCAACCATGTATGCATATGTATGTGTATATAATCTTTATTTCGAAATATTGACACGACTTGATTTATTTGCATTATAATTTTTTAAATTGCATTTATGATTTTCGGTACCTATCACCTTTGAAACATAACACGAGCAAAACTTATAGAGACAATTTATTTTATCCAAAAGGAATTTATCGATCGTCATTTGTCTCCCACCCCGTTGTCTTCTATGTACAAATAGCGTATGTTCTCTGTTTTATATTTCGGAAATATTTTCACTTGATGTGCACTTTTCCATACTCCCGACAGTACTTGGTTTACTCTCTACATGTTTTTTTGAACTTCTATACGTTTTCTGGTGGCTGATAGCATGAACTTGTCCCCCTTAGCATCGACCATCTTTCATGACAATTAGGTTGCCTGTTGAGGCTATTTTAGTTTGAATACCTTTCTCATCATAGCTAAAAGTATTTTCGGGATTATAATCTTTGCACAATGCGTCAACATTTTTTAGCTTTCTACTTGAAGCTTATGAGATCCTCTCGTTGAAAAGTCAATATTCTGAGGTAGTTGAAATTTGAACGACCAATTATTGCCTGCAGGAAAATCACCAGTTTATTCTCCCTTAGCGAAATATTTCTGTCATCGATAGATAGTTATTTCAAGCAGCGAGATATCGTTCCTATCAATGCTGACGTTGTTGAACCAACTGAGATTTTCGTTCCCTTTATGTTCCTTGTTAGGTGTTTGTGCACAATCATTTGAACTTTCTCCTTACCTTAATTGGAATGTTATCTCCACAGAGAATCTCTTCTTGTGCCAATTAATGGTTTTCAGTTCATCACTAATGCTCACGAATGTCTTTCCCCTTCACCGGCTTGCCACTGCAACAGCTCCCGGTGGCTTGAGTAAACACCTAAGCACTTATAAAAGCATAATTGATGCGCAGAATGCTTGAATATCCACAGGAAGTTTGACAAACGGTTTCAGTGACCTTCCATGGTCTGTTATGTTCACTCAAGTGAAGCACTCGACTTCTATCACGCCGGTAAGGTCTACGATCATTGGGTTATTTGCCCAAGTTCATTTTGAATAGAATATCCACCATTTGACGCCAGCAATCGCGTCTTGCTAGGAATCCTATTACAGAACTACCCTCCTCCCTCTCACGTGTCAACGAATTTGCCCTAATGCTAACTCATTCAACCTACTGTTATTTATCCGTAGTTATAACGAGTGTTTCCAGTATCAGTTCCGACGCTAAAGTCGGACTGAAGTGTAATTTTAAGTTTGAACCATTCAATTTCTGTGTGTGCGCTCAACCGATTACTGGCTCCTAAGTGATAATTTCTCCGTGCTACATGAACTTGATGATGCTGAATGCCAATCAATCTGTCGAAAGATGATGGAATTTCAAGATTGATGGATAGTTTAACTATCGCGTTGAGGCGCAGATGTGTGTGCGCGACCTCAGTCGAGTTGCTCAATGTATAAATCAGCGAAACCCTATGGGGCGTCTTCTCCGCCCAAGTTAGTAATGCCTAGCCACTTCACTTGGATTTGCAGTGGCCAAGATTTACGCGTGTCGATTGTTAGGCTCAATAAAATTTTCATAAGCAAGCACTATGTACAAGAATCCATCGAGCCATGTGGGCACAATCTACGATAGTTAGTCGTTAGTTGTTAATTTTGATTCTGAAAATCATTGTGCGGGGAAATTCATGAACAATATTTCACTCAAGGTATTCCCAAAGTATTGGTCATTAGCAAAAATTAGATGAATGGATTCCTGAAGTAGTATCCTAGATAAGAGGGCATATTTACACAAGTATAGGAATACATGATACACAACATACACGACAAATGTCAAACACAATATTATCATCTTTCATGCTGATGTTTTTCGTTTCCCCTATATATAATAGCTGGTATTAAGCCGTACTTTTGGGTTTGGGCTTAGCGTGTAAGAGGTAGTTTGTTCCGTATTTCTTTAAATGTTCCTTTTTCATCAACTTTTCGTGTTACCCACCTGCCGTTCTTTATCAAATCGCAAAATTAACCCTTGAGTGATGTAGGAATACGCTCAGGGTATTTACTGACCTCGTACCGAAAGAGTGGCTCCTGGTAAAGACACACAGAGTACGCGTTGCCGACGCACCAGATGTTCAATGCCTCTTGCTTTTTCTTGAAACACATGGATTTCTAGGCCAGATTTGTTGCCGGGTACCCCTCAAACAAGGCACAAACCGATGCTTTTTTACCGAGAGAGTAGTCTATGAATGTACTGAATCAATCTGAGGAACATCGCTATGAATGAAATTTACTCAAACAAGAGTGAAATGCTTCAGCTTTCGTTCTGTCTCGGTGTGTATACGCATAAAGTGAACCGTTTACACCATTTGTTTAACTTTGATTACACCACTGAATGAAAGGTAAAACTACAACAGATGGATTCAAACACCATAAGGCTGTCTAAAATGGATTAAGAACAATGCAAGCAGCGTTTTCAGACATTGTAGCGTTATTTCGATCGACGGATATAAATGATGACTAGTTAATCACTTAGAAAGCAGAGAAAAGTTGATAATTTTTATTCATATTGTAAATTGATTAATCATAGATGATATCTAATCGGGATTCATTTACTGTTCTCTAGTTTTATTGGCCTACGGTAACTGTCTCAGTATGAGTGACTTTTATACCTTGAATAACAAGCCAGTTTTCAATAATGGCGGGNAAAAGAAAAGAAAATCAGTGCAGAAGTCAATTCCATCTATCGTTCCTTGAAACTCCATCTAGACGCACAATCCTTAGTTCACCGCTTCAGCCAAACGCTCAGGAAACACCACACTTGATTTTTGCTCTTATTAGAGCTCATCAATACCACATTCTTCACAGTAAGGATATTTTCAATTAAGATTCGAAAGTCTTGGTATTCGCTTCTTAGAATCTGCAAGAGGATTGATAAAATGGTCTCTCTTTTAGTTTTTATTCCAGTGCTTTATTCTGGAAACAACAGTGAAAACGTCACTGTTTGTAAAGCCAAGTATCGACCCTTGGTAGGATGTTTTTGATCTCCCGCTGGTAAACATCGACTAACTATGGTGGTGAACTCAAGTTGGTGAATTTCTTGTCACTGGCATCCGAAGTAGTGTGTACCGTCGATAGCTTCTTTAATAACTCTTTGTGAATAGTTAGCTAAAATGAATAATATGACTATTTTTGCATTTCCTGATTAGTAAAGGCAATCGGCTCATCCTAAACATGTTTGCGAGTTTCTCCGAAGCGCTTCATGGATTCATTACTACAATGTAGTGATTTAAATACGTTTCAATAGTCGATAGCAGCTGCGTGATCGATCGGTAATATGTTTCCCCTTTTAGGCCTCGTCAAAAACTGTTAAATCTGATGGAACACGTGCGATTATGAACGCAAATAACTCGATTGGCTGCTCCAATGTCTAGCACGGAGCAGAATAACAGACCGTAGAAGCAAGCCTATGTTTTAGGAGTGGAAATAAAAACCGAGACAATGTCGACCTGATCAAAACTCTCCAATTCTTGTTCAGGTATCATTCTATATACAATGCCTTCGTCTGTCATTAACTCATCTTTGGCTTCTGTGTTAACACTGGTAGTCCACAAAAGATCGAGTGTTTATTGTGGTAATTCAACCAACCCTTCATATATTTCACAAGTTTGCATCTAGTCTGGAGAGATATTATGTTAGTAGTGATAAGGTTTTTTGGATTATATATATATATATATATATATATATATATGAGAGGATACCATCGGTGTCCTTAGCAGTGGTGCACATAGATTAACGCGTCTTCAACATTCTGCTTCAGTTAATCACTTGAGTAGGAACACGTCTTTTTTCAGTCGTTCGTTCTTGTTTTTTCAATAACAGGTATATTTACTCTGACTGAAATAAAAGATTATATCGATATTTCCCACCCATTATATTCTGTTCTATCGGAACTTCCAGAAAATTAATAGGTGTCAATTTGTCTGTTCGACAAAAACCAATCACCGTTATCAATACATCACCCGAAACGCTACTTATTCGTTCTTTTTTACGGCTAACATGAAACAATATGTTAGCGTTTGAACAAAAGCCACGGTTTCTTTTAAGACGTAAATATAAGTGGTCTGCATTTAGACTGAATGATTATTGAACGAGCCATGCGGTTGTTTCAATTGCTATCCATTAGTTTACCTTATTATGAAGCAGCAGTCAATTTGAAACCTTTGTACATCCTCAGTTCAATAAACCATGTTTGTGGTAATGTGCTCACTCCATCCGTATATTCGCAAGTCATATATTCCCGTCCTTTCTATCGACACCCATAAAATGCTACCCTTTGACGATGCGCTTGCGTTCTGCTGTCAAGTTTGAGCCTATCTGATCTGACTACTATTGGGGCAAAATACGGACACAATACAGTTATTCCTGATGACCCACTGTGATCATGAAGCAATCGGCCCGCTGTAGTACAGCGTGACCCTGTCTCGATTGCCTTGTTTTGCCATGCAGACTTTGTCCAAGTTGTGGGTTCACTATTAATTTCCTCATGCACGGTAGGTAATGCTTGCAACCGCATCTCATTCCGTTCTGTTAAGATTGAATGTTGGATCATGGTTCGGTTCAACATCTGTCCGATGAAGTCCTGTGGAGTTTGATGCGGATCTCGTAAACTTAATGTTTTGCGATAAAATTACGCACACTCGCTGCACCAGGACTTCTGTCTAATATCCTTGGTTGTTAGACAGAGCCAATACGGTCGTTAAAGAATACGAATTTTGTATGAAGGTTTCATTTCGCATATCATATCGTGTGCTGATGACGATTTTCATACTTACTGTTCCTTCCGCTCAATTTCCATCTTTTGTTGCGCTTAGATGTTATAGCATGTTATTTAACCTCTTAATATGTCGCACTACGCCACTCAATGTTAGTCATATGCATTCTTGTTTTTGCTAGTTGGTTGTATGCAAAATAATTCCTGAGAAGCTTCAACCTCATGTGTTGTGTTTCATAATCTTTCATCTTTTATGTTTGATGGGACATGGAGTCACAGGTATCGAATAACTTTTAGGCGGGTAATCACTACTAAATTCGCTCCAGCGATCCAGGATAACTTATCTAGTTGTCAAACTCAATGGTTTACCTATGTTTTTGGAACTCTGCGTGTGGTAACCAATGCTGTACGTGGATTCGAATAATCTCTAAGACANTTTGTCCGTATTGGCTTACAGATGCAATTTCTCTGAAACACTGCGTGCTTTCTATATCCAATCTGTGCATTAGTTTTTATTCATTCTGAAGAAATAATCTATGTACCTGGCCGAGAAGTGTGATGTATTTCAGTTGTTAAACAATCCGAATGACGTTTCAGTTCGGCATCAGTTACACGAATGACGTATTTGATTTTTTTATTGTTGTACCATTTGATGATAATCTTTATCGATCGCCAGGCAGGTCATTCTATTGACCGGTTGTTTTCTTCTCACTTTGAACGGTTTGATAAACCATTCTGATACCTTTTGGGACTTCTTTTCATTGGGCTTAATCTTTTATGTTGAAGTTTACTCAACATGAACCACTTCCTCACCTATTGTGATCTTCCATCGTCTGTTCCCACTTGCGCACAAAATATAGGTGCCCTGGAGGGTTTGTGTGCTGTTGCAGTGGCCCGAAAATTGCTTCGAACACAGTTCGCCGACCTTTTTCCTCGTTCGCGCCGTCCTTTGCGTCCTATGCATCTCCGCTATACTCCCGGTGAACGTAGTCAGCCACGTTCAATTGACGCATCGGGTAAGCTGCGTCCACGTTTGAACTTGTTTCTGTTGTTGGTTTGTGAATCATTGGCGTAGAAATTCCAAGAGGCGGTGATATTTTTCTAGCTATCCCAGAACATCCTCAAGTTTCTGTTATCGGTTGTTCTCGTTTTTTATTTTAGCGGGTAAATTCGGAAAACAATAATTTTGTGAACTAACTTTGATAGATGACAGCGCGTATCATAAAATCGAACTTTACGCCCCTACAAGCTCATGTATTTCACATGGGCTCCATGTTTTTCTTCAGAATTTATTGACCTGAGAAAGAACCCGGCCAGGGAAATGTGTGATCCAATTCGATCATATCTGGTTGTTACTTGTAATCTCAAACGTTCTGATTATTGGCTCGTGCAGTGATGCATAACATTATTCGTCCGCAATTACAACAAGCCACCAATTTCATGTCATGTTTTGCCCATCAGTTCACCTGCATTTCCGGTGACACATTGGTGAAATGAACCGGTTCCTATCACAGCAGATATCCGAACAAATCCCCAAATGGTTAGTATAATCCATGACACAATACCACTCCAAACGTCGGCTGGGTTCACGTAATCTGAGGTCATCAACTGCAAGGTGTCTAATTTCAACCGGGCACATGGTTGACCCATTTTCTTAGCACAAGTCGTTGTTACCTAACCTGAATTCCAGGCCTCTAGCATTCAATGAAGCAATCGCGGTGTAGTCGCGTCATATTTTGCGTATGAAAGTGTAGAACGACATCAATCCAATTACCGTGGGACTTATTGTGGAACTGACTTTTCTTCCATGAGTCTGTCATTCAACTCACTAGTTCTTTTGTTTTCCTAAAAAAATATTGATTTGAACTGAATATCCTTCAGACCTCAGCTTCACGCACAATCCCCAGTTCATCGATTTAACCATACACTCGGAAGCACTAGACTCGAGTCTCGCTCTGATTAGAGCTCATCAGTAGTGCATATCCACCGTCCCGTCCGGGATTTGAACTCCGGACCCATCGCATAGAAGGCGTGTGCTTTACCGCTGTGCCATCTGGTTCATACCATGGCTCAACCAAATTGCCAATTCATGTTTGTTCTGGCGTCGTCTTCAGTGTTAGTCAGTTCAGTTGATCCGACAGCAATGAAAGGAGACACCTCCCGCTGGGTCAGGACTTCTGTGCGTGTTACGGACTGATTCACCGACGAACCTACAAGGCTGGAATGATAATTCGCATTTGACTCACACTTGTTCTGCGTTGTTGCGACTGTTGGGGAAATAAATCTTACGGTAACATCTGACATTCTTTGTATTCTCTTTGTCCGAACTAATTGGATAAATTAAACGCAGTATTTCATAGTCCATTGATTCAAATTTTCTCTCATGGCTGGAGAGCTTTGGGAGCTATTTCATCTTAATTGAGAACCAATAACAGTACATTTCCACCGAACTCCGGGGCATGAGAATTTGTTTCCTGACTCGCCAACCTGACTGGTCCGGAGTTGGTTGCTATACATCAGCAATATTTAATATAGTCCTCATTCCTCACTGTTGTTGGGTGTACTCGATGTTGATTGACTTCGTGACGGATGGCCTTTCAGTTGGGTTCCACTGCGAACAAGTAAGAAATCTCAACATACTGTATAAGAATTATTTAAATTGAATGAATTTACATATAATAGTTATACTTTACTGTGAGGTTTCAACTGGGGTATTTTTAAGTCGAACAATTGCTTTCTCAATCTTGACCCGGACCTACCAACAGCCCCATAACCACACAAAACCAAACAGTGAGCAACAATAATACAACAGTGAATAATTGGTTCAGCATATAATTGTGCTCAAATAAGATGCAGTGAGTTCTGGATTTGTGGGTGACTTTTTAAACATAAATGTGCAAATGAGAAAGAAAAACATTTGCTAAGATTACGGGATTTGTACTCGATCTCCGGACAACTCATGTCATGGTCTTTATCACTTTTATGACGCAAGGTTTGTTCATACTTGAAATTTCATAAAAATAGGTTAATATACCAATCTTTGTCTTACTTAGTTGTTGTGGATTTTCACAAATAACTCTAAACTTTTTCCTTGAGAATCACACAGTTTAAATTTTTGTTTAACAGTGATCACATCGTTTAACCGATTTCACTTCGGATTTTCGAGTTGTCGGCTGTTCATTTAATTCGTTTACATTGGCCCTTCAGGTTTAGATTTGGCCTCTCAAAAACAGAAACCACTACCTCAGTACAGCGCCGTTGATTATCGGAATATGGCTATGGAGGCCCTGGAATTATATCGAAAGGTCAGTAATATTTCACGTTTCGAAAATTATTCAGATATCAAGTGTATTTTGAGTTCATCACACAGTGCTACCCAAAGTCAACGCACGTGTAAGCGAGAATTTCAAAAATACGTCTTCAATGCACGCGTTTCAGACGACAGATTTATAATTCAGTATCATAAATATATTAGTAAAATGATATTCAAATGTTATGCAGCTGTTTAAACTGTGTCAAGAGTCACTCACTAATATGAATTACTAATGGTTTCTAACAAAAGCAAAACAATGCTTCCAAAGCTGTTTGATTATGTTGACTGTGCATGAAGAATATGCTTATTCCTAAAAGAAGACAACTCCCAGACAGTCTCCCATTGACAGTGGGGTTACATTTCAAGTTGTTTATTTCCAATCCGACTATAGGAGTTTTGTGTCTGGAAGCCCTCAACTGATCATCATTCTGTGACTAGGGACAATCACTACCGCGAATCCTCCCGCCATTTCGGTCAAGAAATTGCAGGCCGTTAATAATGTTCCACTGGAACACGGACCGAAGGGAAACGTTTCTGAACTGAATCTTGAGTGTATCTCCACACCCTAATGTCTTGGTCATCCAGATGTCTAGTCTTGTTATTGTTGATCTGTCTTTTATGTTCACGTTTATCCCACTTTGAAATCTGTGATCTCCTCGTGCGCCGAGGTGGCATTTACAACGACGGCTTATTTCACAATACAGTGTGGTGTACCGATTGGGCATTCTGATTCATTATTCGATCGTTCAAGTTCTTTGTTTTTTTTCTGTACCTTGGAATTTGTTTTACCCTAGCCATTTACATTCCCATTCTCATCCCTATACGACTCACAACCTGGTGCTCATTCAGTCTCAAGTCGATCGGTATATGCTGGAAGAAACCTCGTATAAAATCGCGCGTTTTCTGATTTCGGAAAATGTGAGTTGCCGAATCGTGTTTCGTTCTATTATGGTTACATAATCTTGAAGTTAAAACAAAAGGAAGTTATAGTTTGAATGCTTGTATTTAAACCTTTCAGAAACAAGCAGGATTTCAACACTGTATGTAATGGTAACGAACTTAAGGAAATTGTATGTTGACATGGCGGTAGCTCTGTGACTTGCTGTACCACTCGTCCTCCAAAGATATATTAAGAGATCAACTTAAGCAAGCTCACGTCCTTTATCCAAATGGATGGTCTGATCCAACCGGGTTGTGGGATGGTGTCTCGGTCCGGTTTNACATTGTTCAGAAGCGGCACTCAGATTCCAGGTAATCGCTATGCTGTGCTGCCCAGTAGAGCTGTTGACCTCGCTGTTTAGTCCATACACACCTCTCGGGCGGTTTATAATCGAGATTCATCAACCTCGCTTTAGTTAACCTTTCTCAATCCGATTATAGCCACTTAGATTACCTTTTCGTTTTCTCACCTTAACAAAGACACCCGTCTCGAGAGAGCTATGAATAAGAACACCGTGACAGGTGGTGTGATTGTAGGTTTTGCCTGAGCATTTTAAGAGGAACTTGAGACGGTGAGAATCATGTAAAAAATCACTGGTTTCTGACAATAATTAAGTGAGAGAAGATTAAAAGGGATAATCAAACTACCTAAAAGTATTCACAATCGCATAATAAAGTTTGAAGTTCCACTCCAAAGAATCCTGGTTCGAGCCCGGACGGGGTCACAAAGAGTCTCAAACAGAACGAAACAGCCGTCCAGTGCTCTTTATTGGTTATCACAAACATTTCCATCGCATTTAAATGCATACCAACAGTGGGGAATTAATTATCTCCCAAAGAGTGATACCCACAACCAACATCATCAACAGTGCCTAGTGCCTGTGAGAAACTGAGTGGGCTAATCCAAACATTCGCCATCTAAAATGACTACATGATGTTTTTGTTGTTTCCCTTTTGCCAGCAAAAATCCAAGGCCTGCGAATTATTGGACTATTTGTTCTCCGCAGCCCTGCAGGATGAAAGTGATGAGGTGAGTTGCACATGAACCACTCTCATAGCGGCGGTTTGCTGTATCACCCTATCCTGATGCAATTGGAATGGGGAAACTAAAAGCTGTCCAAAACTTTCTCTTACCTCACCGGTATACTAGCAACCGTCAACTACTGTCTTGTGTTCTGTTGTAATAAATTTTTATGTAAACTATTTTTCTCACTAACCTTCCCAGTCCCCATGATCCAAATTATCGTCTTTTCTCAGCATCCTGAATGATTTTCGTTGATTTTGACAACCCCTGGCTGTTCCTTAGTTTTGGTTTCAGTTGTTCATGGACCAAAGGAGGTTTTTGTGAGTTCGGTGTAACTACTCATATTGCACTGTTCTTCGTGTGAAAAAAGGAGAGAATTGATCACAACTAAGACATGATAGCTAGTGACGGTGATTTACTGTTGGGTGATGATGCATGGGAAGTTCCAGTAACTTAAAAAAACAATTTGAAACCTGACGGCAGCAGGTGAATAACTCATCGTTCTCTTTTTGAAAGTGAACTTAGAATCCACGAGTGATATTAAAACCGGTTCAGTTACTCTCTCATGGATGAGTTTGATGCGACAGATAAATGTAGTTTTTGTTGCTTAGCTTGTAAACCACGGACAGATAGGAGACGCCGTTCATTTCACTCTACGAAAAAATTTACTTCAGGTTTGCAAGTACTACATAATTGGGCACATTCTTTGATCAGGAGTACTTTCGTATGCATTTTGGATGCTATTGAGTTTGGTTGAAGAAATGCTTGTGCATACTCTGACTTATATTATGGGTGTCTGTAATTTTCAACATGACCTTTTTTTACTGTCTTTTATTTAATACACAAATGTACAACTCTCAGGAAGAGGTGGCTTACAGATAGACTAGCACACAAAGTCGAAAATGTTAGACGGTATTAACTCGATATGAGCACATGTCCTTCTTGACGATCAGTTGTGACCTTCAACGCCTGGCCACCTCCGCTAATGTGCGCTTATTTTGTACAAAGTTGTCTTGTACTCATCGATACTGTTTCATTTTACTATCATTCCCACAGAACGCACTCAAACCGAAGCGCCTTAAAACTCTAGTCGCTTTGTATCAGTCAATGGGGTACAAACGTCGGGCCGGATTTGTAGCCTGGCATGCTTTGGACCAAAATCTGAAATCAGTGAATGATTCGAATTTTGGTTGCTTGTTCCAAAGTCTTCGGTTGCGTATTTTTCCTGCTTTCGTGGATACAGGGGGTTCGGTCGACAGTCCAGGTAGCTTGATCCATACTGACTCGGGCATTGGATCACAAGTCAGTCCAAACAGCCCCCATCCATTGTTGGTTATGCCACAAAGCGGTGGTGCGTTGCGACGTCCCGCGCAACCGGCTGCAGTCTATCCGATGATGCAACAGCAGATCATGGCCTGGTATCGGGGTATTTCTGCTGGGGGATCGAATGCTTCTCGATTCAGTCGTGCGGCCAAACCTACCAACAACTCCAGTGCTACAAACCGCGGTGCAAGCCAGTTCCGCCAAAGCAAACGTATCCACCAAAATGACCAAGCGCTCATGCTGTCTGACAATGTGCGCTACTTGCCAACCGGATGGGCTGGGTTGCAAGCCGCTGTTCTTGGCCGCATTATCGATCAGTTCAAGATTGACGTGCAATTCGAGGATATATTACATTTGTCCTGGGATAAAGCATTACAATTCGTTGGGTATGTATGTAATCACTCTTCGAAAAGTGGGATACCCTTGTGTTTATTGATTATCTTGTTCTGTGATGGGTCTGTTGAAACCGAAAGGATCCACCCGTGACGACATCGCTATCCACGGNCACGGGTCTGATTCACCTCTGAATGCGGATTGCGTTACCATGGGGACGCTTTTGGGTTTTATGGGTTATGGTATCTCAGAAGTCCTCCTAATTCAGGTGCTGCACTTATTATATATTGAAAATTTATGAGGCTAGTTCTTTATTTTGTTCACGTTTTAGCGTTGTCATTAAACTGATGTTTACTCCTAGTTCGAACCACATGGCATGATGTAAATTGTTATCATTGGGTCAATGGTAAGTATCTAATGGTGTGTGATACCTTGTCTCTTATTCGATATTTCACTATCTGTGTATGCGTACACTTTACTGTTTAGCAAAGGCGAGTCGAAATGACTGCAGATAGTCAATTTACCATAAAACGTTTTGCATTTTGAAGCTCCCTAAATGAATAACAAGACAGGCACGTTTAGCACTATTCTTGGTACCCAAATTTGACCTTCGGATTGCTGTTTTACAGTTTTTAATAATATCTGACACCTTTTAAAGCAATGTATACTCTCGTTGCAGATTTAATCCAGCAGTGGGTTTATATATTCATATTTCCTTCCACATTTCCCCCTGGTGGAAATAGATTCATATTTTCTCTGTTGGATGCTTGGCCAAACAAACTGGATGAAGCCAGATGCGTCATGTGTATGGAAGATCTGTGCCGATTGGCAGTCATGCGTTGCCCGGATCAGCCCACTATCGCTTCCTCAATGTCTTGCTTCGCTGCGTTCGCCTCGGGCAATGCGGATCGTCGTCAATGGGCCCGACAGACTGGGCTTTTGACAAGCACTCAGCCGAATCCAGCCACAATTGAACGAGAGGCCACCATTCAACCCTCTCAGTCTACACAGCTCCGACAGTTGGTCGATCTGGTCGAGGTCCCTGTCTATCGACTCCCATTAGTCCAGTACGTGAGTGCATTTTATTTGATCCCGGAGGAGACTGTGATGAGTGTGATGTTTAATTGGTTCGTGTATGTAAGTGCGGTTGACTTCGAGTTACCGCGATTACTTTCAATGGATTAAGTTATTGAACTTCGATTATGTACCCCTAACGGTTCACAGGCATTCTCAATTTCTTGTCAACTGATCGTGACTCAAAAATTCTTTCTGCACAATTTAGTGGCAGACTATGGTCCACAGTTTAAAACTGAACCTTTCTCCACATGAACAATATAAGATATCTAGGGATGTTTCTTTACAACCCATCAGCGAATGGGCTGGTGGCGCATTTGGATCTAACACAATCTTGCAAAAGGAAAGAATCTCAGTGGTAGATGCACTGCTCATGGCACATCTCAGTTCAGTTTTTACAACCATTAACCATATACTTTCGTGCACTGGTTTTGGTTGCTGTACATCTAACGGTTCCTCACCCCGTGACTCCAAAATTGGTTCTCAGTGAACGAATCCGCACACGGTTAAATGCGATAGCTTCGCCAAAAGAGACCGACAAACCAGAGGGATTAGAAAAAAACAATGCAATTATCAGGCTTCATATAATCGTACTGTGAATGCGCTCAAAGTAGGCCGATTTATGCGGGTTTATCGGTCGAAAAAGGAGAAGGGTGAATCTAGACTTGAAGATCCCACGAAAATCGAGACTGTTCAAACACCAGGAATTTAGAAATTGACGCGTTGATGGATACACGATTGATTCATACGTCACTACCAACATGTTGACCATCCAAACCTTGTCCATCTCAACAGAGATCTGACCAAACTAACGGATAACATTCCGGAACTGTACTAATGAGATTAGGAAAAAATCGACGCCCCGGTACATGTACCATTCTGCTGTTCGGATCCATCAAACATTTTTGTAACTGCACCAGTATTCGCGATTTGATGATTTGTAAATAAAAGCCAGTACAGCATCATTGCCCCATTTATGTCCTGAACACCTGCTGGTGCCTACTGTCGACAAATGCATTGTTTATATAGAGTTTAAGAATGAATTATAAACGTAATGGGAGAAGACACCAAAGCGAAGCCAAAATGACGAACAAGCAATTCTCTTTGGACAAGATTGGTTTCCATCGGTTGATTGCACTCGTCTCGGCAATCTGGTGCATTCTGGCATTGTCAATAATATAAATCACTCGAAATGTTTTTCCGTGATCAACGCGGTGTTGCGTCATCAACAAATGCTTGACAGTCGAGGAGTTTGGTGTTTTGTAAGAACGGTCCTTGGCGGTTACCGGCTGAGTGAACCTGGACATGGCAAACTTGAGTTGAACCCAGTTCGGATTGTGCTCCCAAATTGCATAACCTAATTGGCTTACGGTTCTACCCATATAAGTGTAATCGCATCCACACTGAAATACAGCGAAATCGTCCAGGACATAAATCTTGCAATGTTGCTATATTGACTTTTCTTTTCAAATTTATTGCGTGATAAACTTGTTTCCATTTCTTGATTGTTTATCGTTTCTTATGAAAAGCCTATTCCTACATTGTCATGGATGGGAAGATAATATGGCGTGCAATGAACTGACAAGTTTATCGCTTATGCCTGTGACCTGTTTGATTGGTTGATCGATGCGGCCTGGTAACTCGTACGCAGGAAAGCCATGCGGACTTGCTCTATTGCAGAATCGATCCATGTCAACTAATCAGATGTCAGTATTGAACTGCCAGCCTTGATTTCTTCGTTGGCAGCTTGACTGTCCATCTTGCTCGCATTCTGATTTGATGTGTCGCTTGCGTATCCTACATATGAACCTACTGCAAATAAACGAACTGCCAACCAAAATACCACATGGTTATTTACTTGTCCAACCATAACTCAACAGTTATATCTCTAGGATAGAAAAAATTCTATCAATCATAATTTACCATACAAGATTGCAAGGTATATCAACATACATCACTGCAACATCCTTGTTTTAATGGTTTGGACGTCTGGTGTGTTTTCAGCGAGTTATTATTTTTCTGGTCCTATTTCATCATCTAACATACGTTTGAATGTGATGTAAGGATAATTTCCCTTCAGGTTACCGGGACGCATTCCGCTATCTCTGAGTGTTCATCAAATCACCCACTGCTGAAGGTCCTTATTCTAATTGTCGCAGAAAAGAACTTTACATTCTCGCTTAGTTACTGACGAGCAATAGATCATTGCCCTCTACAATCTTTCAGTGTGTTGTGTGATTCCCTTGATTCTGTTTTATGTTTATAGGTCAATTCATCTACTTCCTGTCGTCCCTTATCTCATTCCTTGTGAGCTGTCCAAAGAAGGTTTGGCTTCTGCAGTCCCAATTCACCGAAACTCGGTACACTCCTGTGGACCTCCTGAGAGTGAGATCTCTGTGGCCACAGTTACCGAACTGAAGGTACATTCAGGTCCGTTTTTCTACGCACCGAGTGCCCAGGATCCCACTGCTGATCCGCGAATTGTATGTAAGTTTTGATTGATCGGTCAAGCGGGATGGCATGCGGTTGGCTGGGTTGTGTTACTGCTTCGTATCGCATTTGTATTCTTTTGGATGTACACTTATATACCGAGGTATGAATGAGTGACTAGCGATGTCTCAAGCTCAACTGACGCGATATGGTCACCGGTTGATAATCAACTTTCTTTCCGCATTTCGATCGACGTTGCGGTAATTCGGTTTAATGTTCATTCGATGAATGTGTGCCTGGGAGAGTGGTTTTTTTTTTCTAGAGGCGAGTAACTGCCAGCGTTTCGAACTCACCGTTCCTTTTAAATCTGTGTCCCTCGTTTCTGAAGCTGTTGTTCCTTTCTGAACTAGATTCGCAAGCAGCTATTCCGGCTCNACTTTCCATGGTTTGTTTCATCAGACCCACCTTCTAAGGCGGAATTTAATAAGGAGACCCAAGCCTTGCGGCTTCACAAAGTGCCGGGCTCTGGCGGAATTCCCCAGCTCTATTTAAACATAGTAGAATAAAATTTGTTAAAGAATCAGTGGCTCTGCTCTGAGCAGGTCCCCTCCTCTTGGGGAAATCGATTATCGTCCCTATCTTGAAAAAAGGCCGCGCAATGACTGCGCCAACCATAGGGGTATAAGCCTGATCCCGATAGCATAACAGATGTTGGCGTCCATCATTCTCCACCGACTGTACAAGACATGTGAAGAGCTGATCCGCTAGGAGCAGGCTGGGTTTCGCGCTGGTCGTGGATACATCGATCAGATCTTCATCCTCCGACAAACGCGATATCACCATCATGCCTACCACAGACCAACAGCCGTTGGATTCTTAAATATCTGCGTGGCCTTCGACTGTCAATAGGAGCGCACTATGGAGCAGGTTGTTGAGGAATGGAGTACCAGAGAAGTGTGCGCGATCCCTACTGAGTTACGGCCTATGACCAGTTTTAGCCACAGTTTGCAGTATTCATTGGAGCTCAACAAGGCAAGCCCTATGTCCGCGTTTCTTTTTAAGTTTGTCATAATTGTTCTACAGAATTTTTTGTTCGGTGTAGCAAACGGCGGAGTCGAACTCCTCCAAAGGGACAGAGTCCTTGACTTATTAATATGCTGACGACATTGCCTTACTGGGTGACAACACACAGAAAATCCAACAGGTTTTGAACGGCCTGGCGATATAAGTATCTGAGTATGATATGCTTTGTACCTTCCAAATGCAAAGTGCTAGTTCAAAACTGACAGGAGCTTGTGTCTGCACCCACCCTTTGTGGTGACCAGCTGGAAGTGGTTGATAGCTTTAAGTATCTCGGGTGGTATTATGGAGATCATATCATGAATAACGAAAGCTAGAGCAGTTTTCGCGGCCTACGATATCTGCGGTGGCACCCTGACATCCGTTCGTCCCTTAAGGAAGGGGTGCACTACCACGGTTAGTAGTATTCTACTTTACGGTTGCGAGACCTGGCCCCTCGGCTTTGAGGATTCTAATCGATTTTTTTGTATTTGACCACCGATGTCTCCGAAGTATTGTCTATGTCTGGTGGAAAAATCAAGTGAGCAATGACGAGGTTCGTCGTCGTGCGTTGGGTGCGGATAGCCGTTCTCTGATGGCTTGGTCACGTATTGCGTATGACTGCCAATCGGGCACCTTTTCGTGCTCTCTACACAAGGCTGACAGAAGCGACGCGGCGTTCAGACCACGACATGGAGGTATGTGGAGGCTGGCTTCTGCTTTGGCTTCGGTTGGTGCAGCCCGCCTTCCAGGTTGGGGCCAAAGGGATGAAGATTGTCGTTAATTGGAGGCGCTGAGAGATGTGGCTCATGATAGAAGTCAGTGACACAAATGGTGTACGGTCTGCCTGTTGAAATACCATACTCCACAAAAAGAACAATGAACTAATACTAACAAAATAGACAAAAATGGTCGGCGGAGAAGAACACAAACGAACGGGTACAAGAACACTGCCAATTCACAAGCATTAACGATGTCATCTCGACTGGCGATGAAAAGTTTGCAAACAAATTGCCAAGCTCGGCGAACAGGCGAAATGGTATTCAGTTCACCCAATCTACGAGAACCGATATTCAATACTTTGTCAAAGTTAAAGTTTTATTACAGGAAATGCTTACTAGCGGTTGCCTTTCTTATCTCATAGGGTTTAACACAAATGAATCGATTTACGGTTCGTGGAAAAATGAGGACTGTCACAAATTATCTTTGATCGTACACTGCTACGAATGTGGAACACTAATTTTAATGAGGGCCCCTTGAGGTGAGTGTTGGGCGAACAGTGAACGATATGTATGATCAGTGTTCTGCACGATTTTATTCACCAAAATCAAGTCCCCTTGGATTCGGCGATACTGTCTGTAGTACAGGCCCGATGATTCCAATCTTTCCAAATAAATTTTGGAATACAGTCCCTTGAACATTCTAGTGGCCATTCCGTATGTTCCCGAATCTTACGATCGTCTTGCAGCCATGAATTCCACGCTTCAATCGCGTGCTCTATGTAGGGTCAAATGTGGGCTGATAGTAACCGTGGGAGCAGCGTATGTTCAAATTTGTCCGACTTCGCTTCAGGAAACAAACATGTCTTGGAGCGGTGGACGACGCCATGTAGCAGTTTAGAGAACAATTTTAGTCGTCTTGAACCAAGACACCAAGATCCTTCTTATTCGAGACATACGGAAGTTGTTGATCTCCCAAGAAGTACGGAAACCGAGTTTTGTGGCGGAGGGATACGACCGTGCACTTTGATGCATTAAATTCAATATCATTTTCGACTGACTGGTAAGCAATATCAAGTGTTCTCTGAAGTGCCTGCAAGTCCTCGGGTTTTGTCTCTTTTTTCATTATTTTTGTATCATCTGCAAACATTAGCATTTATGGCCCCAGAATATCCGTTAAATCGTTCATGAAACCCATACAAATTTGAGAGCCAAGCACGAAAATCCTCGGTCTACGCTGATAGGATCAGAAAATGACCCCGAACCCCGAACTTTCTAAGAAATTCTTCTGTTCAACCCGGTACAAATCCCCGAATTCCATAATTGTGTAGTTTCCTAAGCGGTATTTTGTGGTTCAGTCGGTAGAATGCTTTGGAGAAGTCGAGGTACACTACGTCCACTGCATCGCCGTGATCAGGTACTTCCGCCCTCTCTTCTCGAACCAGAAGCAGGTTAGTGGTACACGATCGCCTGCGACGAAACCCATGTTGAGCAGATAACACGTATTTGTTCAATGGACTGACCTAAGTGTCTGCAACAATGGATAATACGGGGAGGAGAGTAACTAACTGTGTCACTACGGCAAACGTTATATTTTGAAGAAATTATCCCTTTGTCCATGTGTATGGGAGCACAGTTTTTTCGAACATTTTTTGAAATAGTTCACTTGATGGTTGAGCTATGTTACTTGCCAGGTTGATAGGGATTTGTAGATGGATATTATCTATCCCCGGAGATGAATTCAAACACTGCAGTTTCAATGCTATGATTTCTGGGTAAAAATCAGTCGTGGTGCGCGTCGAGTACGGTATGTCCTAAAGTTACAGAGACAGTCGTAGTCCGGTGTTCGCAGATGCAGTGAACAATTGAGCATACTGACGTTTCAACATCTCAGCTGTTTCCTTTGTTGTGACTGATAACCGTTCTGCGAATTTTAGCGTTGGAACGCCAGACTTGACTACTCTGGAGGCATTTATGTTTGTACAGCAGCTTGGGATTTAATATAAACTTGCGCATCAGCATTTATTGGTACAATAACTTGTCTTCTCGCGCCATTTTGGTGCAGTGGCTTTGAAGCAGACAGTAGGGAAGTCTTTTATAAGCTATCCATGACTTATTCCACAGCGAAAACCACTTCTTTGTTCGACTTTGAGTCACTGACTTTTGACCAGTCGAGTAGGTGATGCGTTTGGTTTTGGTCACACCCTTCACCATTTCCATGAGATGGTTCGTAAGTTCTTGCCAGGATGCCAACGGATCACACCGTTCGTTGAGAAATTTCTATTGAAAGTTTCTCGCCAAAATCTTGGTGTAGTCAACAAACATACAGTAGTTAACCGTAGAAATGTGCGGTACGAATGCATAGCAAATGTAGTCAAAAATCAACACAGCATGATCACTGCGCCCTACAGAGGTTGTAGTGGAAATCGTTTCACCATCAGTTCCTCCTTAACTCACACCAAGTCCCAAACCGACGAAAACTGATTGGCTCGAAACTTCTTTGGCTCCTTCACGAAATTATAAATTGAATAGAATTTAATACACTGAAGGAGTTTCCTACCAAACGGTCGTAGAGAGGTCACTGATTTAGCTAGGTTTGGGCAAATACGGATTATATCTGGTGAAATATCTAACAATATGTGTTCACATCTACAATAAAATGTCTCTCATCTGCCAACGTATCATTGGTCCTCGTACTAAAGGTGTTCAATGTGACGACTGTAATGGCTTGATACACATTGGCTGTGCCAACAACAGGAGCAGTACAAGTTTCTGGACTTGTGCAAGTCCAAATTTGTGAAAATTGTCCCAAGTGTTCAGTGAATCCACGTCTGTACGCCTCTACACCGGAGGCCAACAAATCTCTGTCGGTGGTGAATGTGAAAGTGATTCATCAACAACTCGAGTCCCCCCTTCAACAACGGCGGTAACATTCTCTCCTTTTAATACAAATGGCCGGCGGCGAAAAAATCTACAGAAGCTCCTACATTTCCTTGTGGCAAAACCAAGACTATTGACACGGCTCCACTTCCCTTAGTGGTCCAGGTAACGCAAGAGGGAGCCACTACAAGTTCCAAAACTAGATGCGGTATGCCGCAGAATATTCGACAGAAAGCGATACGAACGGAGTCGGTGATGATGTTGAGTGGAAAGCACTCCGGGCCCGCAATACCCCCACCGTCGCGCAAACAATCCCTCATCGTTGCCAACCTGCCGGAATCCGGATCTCAGACCAGGCACATTCACGACGTCAACTTTTTGCTCAAAATTCTGGGACGG